AAGTTGGTTAAACTGCTCTCTTCCAATTTAGATTTAATTAATTACTTGTTGGTTCTTTGTTTGTTTCCTACTTTCCTATCCATCTTTCTCATTACTTCTGAGCTGCTGCCTAATTACTGCTTCTTCCTTTTTTACAGCTTCAGATCTTCCAAAACCTCTTCCTTTTCCCACTTTTTCTGGCACTGTATATTTTTAAAATGCATTAATAAAATGCTATCTTACAGATTTAGTCTCTTTAAAGCAGTTCGATCGTGATGAAGCAAGTGATCCTGTAGGTGTGTTGTCACTTGCTTGTTCAATACTTCAGATAATTTAAAGTTTATTTAAAGTTGAATGTCATGTTCAGAAATGAATTCTTCTACCTCAATGAAGTATTCTCCTAAATCTGTTTTAAAAAGAAAACAAGCTTTGGAAACAAATGAGCTTTGGTTGCCAGTGTTTTTCTTAATTGTTTCTGGTTGTTTCTTTCTATGGTTTTCCTTTTCCAAACTCAACATAAAATTTTTTGTTCAGAAAGTTCTTTGCTCCCAGCCCTTTCTTGCTGCAGTGATGCTGTGAGCACAGACACATCAAAATCTTTGTGCTAAGGAAGAGTAAGAAACAGAGCAATGTGGGAGTGAAAAAGCTTTGGGCAGATGTGAAATCCTCCCTGGAAAGGATCCACAGGTTGCCACCTGTCCTGTATCTCTAGGACTTTACTCAGCCTGGTGCTGAGCAGAGGTTCTTAAAGTGTGTTTGAGGTGAGGTACCCAGTTACTGCAGGGAGAAGTTTTCTGCAATAACTTTGAAGAAGCATTGGGGTAATTTGATAAAGTTTTAAAATAATCTCTCATTTCTGGAATTATTTCTTAGTTTTTGCACAGGTGCCTCATTTTTATCAAACACTTCTTTGGCTGTGGTAGTAGAAAAGGTAAGGCCGAAGGGGAGAAAAGGCTTATAAAAAAGTGTGGGTTTGGTTCCTTCTCTCAACTGACTTGTCCAGATTAATTGTCTGGAAGATTTTTTTCTGACCTACAGTGAAGTACTTAGCATGTCCTCGGCAGGTGATTACTGAATTAATCAGTGAGTGCTGTTTTCCATCTGCTTCTTCTCCTTCAGTGTTTGGATTCATTGTTTCTTTTGCAGCATTCCCCCTCGGCATGGCAGTGTCTCAGCAGGAACAGGTCTGAGTGCCCACTGGTTTTTACCCTTCCCTAAGGAATGTTACCCCATCCAGTTTTGAGTCCAGAGAGCCTTTGGCTATTCTTGATTTTCATACTGTTCTCTTTAGATCTTTGGATTTATTTGGTCAGAAGAATTATTTATCTTGGATAATATTACTTTTTGGAGTAAAGTGATTTTTTGAATATTTTAAAAAATAATTTTGTTATTTATTTTCTTTCACAAAGTTTTAGGTTTTCCTTGTTTGTTGCTGCAGTCACCCACTTGGACATGTGAATCACTGGGTGAAGAGGTGTGCAGGATAAAAAAAAACAGAAAGAAAGTGTCTAATTTTTACTGAATTTGACATTCTGTCCAACATTCTGCCCACACTCACCTTGTTTCTTAATGGCACTGACCTAACTGAGACAGGTGGAAAGTATTTCTTCCAGAATCTTGAAGGAAAATGGAGCAGGGACAGCAGACTGAAAACACAGTTTATGAAGATGTTTATCTCCAGGTAAAATTCCTGTCTTTCGTTAAAAAGATCAGAGTTAAAAGCACCAATTTACACTGCAAGCTCTGCCACTGAATAAAATTGGAAGGCACAGCCCTGCACCTTATCAGAGGTGATGCAGTGATTCCCTCAGCCAGGACAGCTCTTGCCTGAGAAACTGCTCAGGTATATACCAGTGTCTGCCTCAGAACATATCTGCAAATACTGCCAATTAATATGAGGATGTTTTCTCTCCTGCCTGCACTGCCAAGTGTAAAATATGAATGCTGAGGTCTGCAGTGTCTGCAGCCCAGAACTACTTCAGTTCATGCTTTTGCTTCTTGACATTGGCTTAAAAAAATTCAAGTTTGTACAAATAGCAATCCTAAGACAGTTCATTAGAACTTTAGGAAAGGCTGCTGCTAACTAGAAATAGTGTTGGAAAAGTAAGCTTTTTTGGAATTTGTGAAATTCTGATTGTAATTTAAGTATTGCAAACCAGGAAAGGCTGAGAGGGTTGGGATTGTTCAGCCTGGAGAAGAGAAGCTTTGGGGTGACCTAACTGCAGCCTTCGAGTACCTGAAGGGAGCTTACAAGAAAGATGGAGACTATTGATAAGGGCCTGGAGTGCCAGGACAAGGGGGAATGGCTTCACACTGACAGAGAGTAGCGTTAGATGGGATATTAGGCAAAGGAGGGGAGAGGAATTACTCAGGTGGTGATAACTCCTTGACATGGGAAGAGGCTTTCTAGCCTATGCCTGGGGCACAGTCCTAGCAGCACTGCAGCTGAACTCTGTAGATGAAGGGGAGGATGCTGAGCCAGCTCTTAAGTGCAGCCTCCCTTTTGCTGTGAGCCTTTCAGAGCACCTGAACTGCCCCTGGAATCTGCCAGGCTCCACCCCTAATGATCGTGCCTCTTAACATTTTGCAGGGGAAACCCAGTGGGAGAAGATAGAAGTAAACAAAATTTGCCCTTTTGAGGTGCGATTGGAGGAGGCTTGGCTTTCCTTGTTGGCCTCCTGGGGTGCAGGAGAAAGGACTACTTTAATGGGGAAATAGCAGAGGTGCTTGAGTCATGATGTTTATGAGTCCTTTCAGATGTCACTGTAAGTGCTCTTGCTCTTAGCTGGTGGAATCGAAGGCCTGTCAGGGAAGGGAAATGCCTCCTGATATTCCTGGATAACTATCTTATTAGCTTTTAGCTTTCTGGTGTATACCTGGATGACTTTGTTGAAAAAAATTAGTACACCTGAGACTTTTAGTCAGTCTTCTATTCGTTTAGAATGAAAAGTAGTTTGATCAGTTTGTGTGAAAACATATCCATCCTTTTTTCCTCTCAAAAGATCAGTGCTCTCCCTCAGGAAAGAAATGAAAGCTGCTCCTATAGCAATTGCTTCTGATTTCCACTGCTTCAGAGCAAAGTGCAGCTGTGCCAAGGTGTCTTCAGCTGACACATTATTCTGAGAGGACGAGATGAGAGAAATGTTTGGTTTCCCTAAAACTAAAATGGGCATTACAAGGGGAGCAGATGGGTTGACCTCTTTTCAGGTGGTGCACACACCCACTGTAGTTGCACGGACTGGGACTTATTAACCATCAGTCACCTGTAAAGCTTCCTTAGGGAGCTGCAGAGGAGCAGCATGAGCCACCAGACTGATGTGGAAGTCAGGGGCCGACAAATTCTGCTCTTTTCACTGCCACTCTCTCACTGAACAGCCTTGGCAAGTCGCTTCCATCCCTCTCCCTGACACTCCACAGCTGTAACACATCCAAGGGCACTCCTTGCCTGTCTTGTGAGGAGCTGGGGAAGTGGTAAACGCTATACAAGTGCCAAGCGTTGTTATCAAAACTCCGTCTGTCAGGAAATGCAGACACATCAACTCTCTGCCCTCTCCAGGCTCATGACTGTTAGTTAACCTCACCTTGGCACACAAAAACCATGTGGGGAATCAGGTACAAAAACACTCTTCAGTCTTGAAATCACTGATGTCTTCAAGGTCACATTTGGTGACTTCAGTATCTGTTTCACAGCTGCAGTTCCATGTTTGGGTCAGATGGTGATAAATGAGGGTGTAACTTGTTTGTAACAATTCCTTCTCTGTCTTCCTAAACATTTTGTTTCTTAGGAAGCTGATGCTGCTATAAACATATTGGATAATACTGAATTTGCAATATTCTGCTTTCCAGATATAAATGTTTATATTTAAAATTGCTAAGACTGCAATGCAATAAATATCTCCATGTTACAGTTTGCCTCAAAGCATGTTTTTTTTTGTGTTCTACCAATACAGTGATGTGGATTGTGTCAGTGAAGGAGCTAGGACTGCTGTTGTTAGGACAGATGCTGGATGTGGAGACTCCCAGGTGTGAATAAAGCACTGCTATCTAGTCACATAACTGGGGACAAACCAGTCATTTGTGTGTTCAAAAGGGTATTAATCTACAAAATAACAATACCATGATACTTGTCTCTTAGAGATGCAGAAGGGAAGTGAACTTTATGTTGATAAATGTAACCACCAGTGGCCTGCTCACTCAAATGTCTGTTACCTTAGTGTGTGCTCTTCCACAATGCCACCAGGAGATGGTTTTCCAGGAGCTGGGGAGGTCCAGAGCCAGCATCCATGTACATCTGCTCCAGTGTGTGCATATGCAGTGGGGAACCTGACTTCCAGGAGCCTTTCTAATCCCATGGTAAGTGATGCTGATACGTTTGGGTCAGAGATGCCTTTTTAGGGAGACATTCTCTCTTGTGAGGGTGGTGAGGCCCTGGCACATGTTGCTGTGGCTGCCCCATCCCTGGGAGTATCCAAGGCCAGGTTTGACAGGGCTTGGAATAACCTGGGACAGTGGCAGGTGTCCTGCCCAAGGCTAGAAGGAGTAATTCCCATTGCAGCCTGGGAACCCCATCCCAGACAGGAGGCAGAGGCTGGAGGGATGCTCCCACTCAGGGGAGGGGACTCTCTCTGCGAGAGGATGGGGGAGAATTTCAGGGCTCTGGATTTTTCCGTTCCATGGGCACTAAATGCTCCAGAAAGGTTGTCCAAACACTCCCCTGTGTGCTACAGCCCTTCAGGCTTTTCTTTATTCCACTGGGAATCTCAGCCAGAGCCTCTTCCTAGGTCCGGGCTGTGCAGCTATGGAAGCGCCAGGCGGGCTCTAACGAGCAGGAATCCACTGATGCTCCCTCCGGGAAAAACGGGAGATTCGGGCTCACCGGAGGTGCCCCCAGCCGTGCGGTGTGGGGGCTGCGGGGCCGGGCCGGGCCCATCCCGATCCCGGTTCCGAT